TTTTCAAAAATACTCAACTTAACTTTAAACCCGATTTAAAACAAATTGATTATATAAAATTGGATTGAGACAGAATCCGTCAAGTACAAATTGAATTATCAATCTTAATCATCGTTGTCAAAATATCAAAATTTAATTTTTTTTATAAAAAAAATCATAATTTAAAGATTAAAAAAAAGTTACAAATATATTTAAATCTAAATTTATCATATGTTATATTTTAAAAGTGGTTAAATGAACTAATTTAATTAACTTTGGGTTCAAAATATCAAAATCAAGTTTAATCTATTTAGTCAAGTGATTAAGAAGCATGATTTAGTCTTATTTGCATAAAAAAGAAGCCAACAGATATTTTGTTTTTATTTAAACCTTATTTATTTTTTTCCATAATTAATGAAATTGGAAAACCACCATTTTCAACAAATACAATATATTCCATCAATGTCCCAATAATAGGTTAAGTAAGGCATGCACGTGTCTGCATATGCATAAATAAATAAATAAATAAATATTAAAATCATTAATTATGTAAATTTGAAATAATTTTTCACCTTATTTTAACCTCAAATCCAAGATGCATGGTTGTAAGAACAGGCTTAAATAAACATCCCTCCAAAAAAACAAGAAAATAAATTTTATGACGAAATTGCCCTTCAAGAATCCTCTTTTACCTCGAATAAAAGGGTTGTCCCCATATTTTACGGGCACCACCCCACCAAAGGGGATATACCCCTTTTCATCGGGTGATTGTTGATGGGTGAAATGAAAGGAACAACAAGTTAAGATCTTGTTAACCACATCATGACACGTGTCAGATTCCATGTGAGGTGGGACCGGCTGTCCCGGTTTGGCCTTTGCTCTCTGCTGCTGCATGCACCACGTGATATAAAATGCATATGTCACGTGATTAACGGACAGGGGTAAGATCTAGTGAAGTGCTTCATCCAATTGTTTTTTGCCACGTCGCGAGATGTTTCCTCTTCTCACGTGTACTTGACTGTCTTCTATCATTATCCCATTCTCGTACCCTTCTTTGTCTCTGGAGTAATGAGCTTACTTATCGGTTAATCTCATGTTAAGGGAATCTAAATCTTATTTTATTAATTTTTTTTTTAATAATGGAGGTCCAAAGCTTAGAAACAATTGAAGAAGTAAAAATCATAGTGTTGGAGATAGAATTTTAATTTTGTGAAAATTTATTTTTATAAGAAATAAATTATTAATTTGGATTAAGTTTTGGATTTTTATTCTATTATGTTTAAGAGAAATGTTAGTTGAAATATAAATATTTGGTTTAGTGATTTTTACATGATTTTTAATTAAAATGATAAATTTTTATTTTTTTAATAAATAAAAAGAAAAAAATATTAATTGATATCCATTAACATAGATTAAAGTGATATTTATAAAAATAAAATTTGTATTTTTATATTTGATGAATTTGTAAAAATTCGCATTCAACCTATGAAATATTATCTATTTTAATTCTAAAGTCTCATGATTTTATCTCATAAAATAAACTTCACAGATTTAGATTTAAGTTTCAACTTATATATCATAATAGATTATCAGAATATTACGATGTAATATTAGAATGTTATAAACTCTTTTGTTAAAGTTTAACATTTTCATCAAATTTAGCACAAAATACACATAAAATCACAAAATCAGAATCATATCAGATATTGAAATTCTAAAAATATTTTTTATCATATAATATTTAGCTCCCTCAAGATTTTAAATGTTATTCTCATAGTGTAACACTTAATTTCTGTTCAATTAATGATCACTCTAATCATCGTGTAACATTTAACACCCTTAGGATTTTAAAGATGGCTCTATTAGTGTAGCATTTAATTTTTGTTTGATCGATGATTACTCTAATGTCATTTATTAAATTCGTATTCAATTTACGAAGTATTATTCACTTTAACCAGAATATCTCATAATTTTTTTTTACAAAAAATATTTTATAAATTTAAATTTAAATATCAACTTATATATCATAATAAATTCTCAGAATATTTAGATATGAGATTAGGATGTTATTGAAATATATATTATATTTAACTCATTTATCCAAAATTTTTTAATTAAAAATAATTAATATTAATACTTTTTGTACATATAAAATAACAAAAATTAATAAGACCTTATGAATTTTTATTCTCTTTCATCTCAATAACCAAATTCAAAAACTTTTAAAATTTAACAATGATCTCATTTTGAAAATAAAAAATCAGTTAGTCCTACTAATAAATATTTTGTTTTGAAGTTTAAGCTTTTCATCTCTTCTTTCTTGCACTCGATTCATTCATAATCATCAATTAAACTAAAAGACAAAGACATGGACTGTTTTGAGATCTTAAAAGATTATAACTTTACGTGCAATGTTGGAAACACATGTAATTTAAAAAAAAAAAATAACAGATAGAATTATACCATTACACTATCCTTTTATCATGTGAGACGAAATGGGTTTTGTTGACATTTATACCTATAAAATAAATGCATGGCTTATTACCCTAATTAGTGGTGGTAACATTCGAACGTGATCGGATTTAATTAAAATTTTTAAATAATATATAAAATTATAAATTTTTAAAATTTGATTCAAATTTGAATTAAATTTTTATACGATTTAATTTAATTCAAACAAAATTTTATCGATTATGTTCAATTTATTAGTTTTTAAATTTATTTTATATATATATATTACTTTAATATAATTTTTAATATTTAAAAATAAATTTAGATATAAAATAATTATTTTATTTTATAAAAATTAAAAATATATAATTCAATTTGTTTTGGATTTTTTTTTATTTTTTACTTCTCAATTTGAAATTAATATATACATTTAATATATATCCGAACTTAATCCAAATCGAATAAAAAAAATTAATCTGAATAGAACTGAATATTATAGTTTTGAATCAATTTTTTATTTTTAATTTTTTTTTCACCTCTAACATGGCAAAAATATGATTAAATTAGCAATTTATTTTTTATTTTTAAGTTTAGATAAAGGAATGCTACTCCATTTCAAGATCAAAACATATTGCAAATCTGACTTATATTAAACTTACAAAATTTTCAATAAAAAAATCGAACTTTAATTTTAAAAACGAAATATTTTATCTTTATATATTCTTATAACCCAGCCGTTAGCAATTTTTTTTGGATAAATGGCAAGCTGTAATTGAACCAGAATGCATAAAGGATCATCACCAAAGAGTGTTTTACAAATATCTTAAATTGCCATTTTAGTGTGAAAGAAAAAAAAAAAAACTAGGTAAAAAATAATTGGCTTTTTAAAGTTGCAATTATTATGCTTAAATAATGGCATTTATAAGAAAATAAATTAAGTAGCAAGAATCAATTACTGACATGAAACTGTATTTTTGTTTCAGTTTTGATTTTAGTAAGGATAGAATATACTTTCAGACTTTAGTATTTTATGGATATTTAAAGATCATTATGTGGTTTACTTTTCATATTTACATTTTTTAAAGAAATTTCTCATTAATCAATAATCATTTAATAGATTTGACAATTCGTGTATTCGTATAATATAAAATACTAAAAATTTATGTTTTTTATCGTGTTTTATATGAAATTATATGTTATAATTCGTATCGATATGAAAATAATAAACACATTTTTTTTATTTTGTTAAACCTATTTATAATTTTTACTAAAATTTTAAATTGTATTTGTTATCATATTTTTTATTCATATTATTTTTTTATCATATCACTGTGTCATAGTTAAATTTGTCAGACTTATCATTTAAGGCTACCATGACATGATAAATTTTTATTTATGAGCTCTGAAAAAATAGATAATTCAACAAGAATAAAAGGGGTAATGAGATGCAAGAGCTCCTATGATTTTTTATTGTTCTTTATATTAAATAAAAACTAATTTTTAAATAAATTATGGTATTCTTATTTTCTTTATTTTGGATTTGAGAGAATCAACAATGTGAGCCATTTTGATTAGAAAATTTCCATTACCCCAATAATTTTTCAAAAGGTTTCTATATTTTTGTTTCTTGTAGCCAACAAGTTTCTACATATGATATTGGAAAATACATAAGTCCATGGTAATTTTATCTTATTATTTTCTTTATCCAATATGTGATGATTGTTCCATTAGTATTCTATCATGTATCATGTGTATTCGAAGAGACATGTATTACAATAACTATTACTCTTGCATAAATTTCATAATTACATGAAAAACAAAACCAAATTTTTTATAAGTGTAAATCTCCCATATGAATCTTTCATTAGTTTCTTTCAAAGAAACTTATTAACAACAATGCTCATGTGATTTATTAATAAAGTGTTAAAATTTAAATTTGAATAATGAGAATCCAATATATGATAATTTACATTATAAAAAAAATCTCAATTATAAATGATTGATTTCACTTATAAAGGCATTAATGATGAATTTAATAATTTGTGTATTTGTATCATATAAAATATTGATGATTTATATATTATTGTCATGTTTTACATAAAAATTATGATCATAATTCATATTGATATGAAAATATAAAATATATATTTTTTATTTTATTAAACCTATTTATAATTTTTACTAAAATTTTAAACTAATTTTATGTTTTATATTCATATTATTTTTATATCATGTCATTATGTGATATTTTAGATTGTCAATTCTATTTAATGTTAAGGATAGATTCTTATAAATTGTTTTCTTTTTTTTTATTATTATTATTCAAAAACAAAATGGAATAAAGGGCATAAATGTCACAATAAAAGGGTGGCTTTCACTCTAGACTTTGTGATATTTTAAATTATCAATTTTATTTAATGTCAAAGATAGATTCCTATAAATTATTATTTTTATTTAAAAAAATGGAATAAGGGCATAAATGTCACAATGAAGGGATGACTTTCACTCTAGACTTTGGAGCCAAAGCCAATTTGATTTAATTAACAAACAATTAACAAAAGAAGCTTATAAAATTGGATTAAGAAAATAATATTATCATAGTACTAATAAATAAACAAAAATCAAGCAAAGGATGGTTTGGTAAATTTGGTTGAAGAAGAAGAAGAGAAAAGCGGTTAGTAGTGGGTCGTCTCTCACTTCTGTTCAACCTCCCTTGCCTGCAAAGTTGAGAACTTTGTGCAAAAGAATCAATAGACAGAAGAAACCACGCAAACCAACAAAAAAAGGGGAAGAAAACAGAGCAAAAACAGAGGACTCTGTTTCTGTTTCCTTCTCTTCTTTTGCTTCTTCTCAAATTTGGAATTCTTGGGAGTCATTTTCTGCAACTGGTTCACTTTGATTTTGCTCAAGCTTCCTTTTTTACATATGGGTTTTCTCTCCTGTCATATCTAGTGGTGGAGAAATAGAAGGGAATTGAGATTTAAAGTTTCAAAAATGTCTTTTAAAAGTAAAGGAGAGCAATCCACTAGAAGTTTTGTATCAAAGAAATGGACTTTTCTTCTTTGCTTGGGCTGTTTCTGTGCTGGAATGCTCCTTACCAATAGGTATCCATTTTCTATTCTTCTTTTATTTTTCAGTTTCATTGAATTCTCAAAGTTTGTAACTTTTGGCTTTTCTTTTCTTCATACCAAAGTTTTTCTTGCTTTAAGATCTATATTTAGCTAAACTATGTCAGCTTGCTTTGGTAATAGATTTTTTTCTCATTTTCTAAAGATGGGTTGTTTTGAATTATTAAGAATTTTATTTTTATTAGTGTTATTCAAGTTTGTGTTTATTATTTCTGCCTATCAAGGCAAAATGGATCTAACTTTTTTTTTTCTTATATATATATATATATGTGTGTGTGTGTGTATATATGTAGTTTTTGAGGAGGTTTCCATTTTTTTTTTTTTTTGGTAAAGGAGGATTCAAATTTGCAAAGTCAATTTTTAATTTTTTTTATATTGATACAAAGGTTCAACTTTTTCAGATTGCTATTTTTGTTTATAAATTTGAAATTAAAAACATTGCAGTCTTGTTATCCACGGGGGCGAGTGAAATTTGCATCCATAATTAGGATTCATGCCATTTTCAGAATTTCATGGCAGGAACAACTCTGACACATGCTATACATAGCTGTAGTATTGGTTTACATCTGGTTCTGGTAGTTGTAACTGGGACTGTTTTAATGAGATTGTATAGGCGTGTAAACCTCTTAAGTGTTTTCATTTTTAATGCTTCTATCTAATTGTGCGGCTTTTAATGTTGTTGTTTTATTTTTGTTTATCAAAGTTACATTATTGAAAATGATTGTGCAGTAGCATTAAATGGTTCCAGTAGAGAACCTTGACTTCATTGAAAATAAATTTTTGGTTGACTGGTTTCTGTTTTACAGTTAGAATTTTAGTTTCGTTTGTTTATGAAGTGGTTGTATTGTTGTAGATCTTATTGAGGTAAGATATGATGGCTTATTAATGTGTACAATTGGTAACAGGATGGGGACCGATCCTGAATCTAAAGGTATCATGCGGACAACTGCAGTAGAAGCTGAAAACTTAAAACTTATTTCAGAGGGTTGTAATCTGAAAGCTGTGAGTATCTTAATTACATCATATAAACCATTTTTTTTTAACTCGGATGTAGCATTTAATAGGTCTGGGGTTCGAATCCTAACATCTGCAACCCCTTCCTCTATTCCCAGGCCACGTCCGTGGGCCTCCTTTTTGCCAAAAAAATATAAACCATTTTTTTTTTTTGTTAATCGGCCGAGGTTTTGCAGTTTTTAAGTTGATTGGGTTCCTTTATTTGTATCAGAAAGAAGAAAAGCATGTATCTAAGGACATCATTGGAGAAGTTTTTAAGACTCACCATGCTATACAGTAAGTGTTCCTTTTGTCTTCTTATGCTTGATTTGATTTTAAAGTGGCCTGATCAACAAATTTATCATGTTGTTTTCGGTGTAGGACATTGGGTAAAACTATTTCCAACTTAGAGATGGAATTAGCTGCTGCAAGGGCAGCACAAGAATCCTTACTCAGTGGTTCTCCATTAACCACAGAAGTCAATAGAGCTGAATCATCTAGGAAGAGAAAGTATCTGATGGTTATAGGAATTAATACAGCTTTTAGCAGCAGGAAAAGACGAGACTCAGTTCGTGCTACATGGATACCACAAGGTTGTTGGATTGATTCTTTCTGACCCTTCTCTTCCTTACCCTATTCCTTTAATTCACATTAGCCCCTTTCCCAATGTTCTCATGCCATTGGCATTGCTGAATTAAATCTGTTTTTTTGTTTTTTCCTTCCTAAAACTAATGGAAAATAGGTGAAAAGAGGAAGAAATTAGAGGATGAAAAGGGCATTATCGCTCGCTTTGTTATTGGACATAGGTGAGGGCTCAATTCTCCTTCTATTGTATTTTTTCATAAGTGAAAAGTATCATATCCTTCAGCATGTTTTTCTTATTTTAACATGCTGGTCCTCCTCTTAAATACTTCATTGTGAATTTACAGCCCTCCTGTTTGGAAGCGTTACATTTTCTGCTGTTCTTAGGTTATTATCTCAGTTTCATTCATTATTGCCTTTGAATCTTTTTTGGCTACTAGTTTTGAATCTTTATCCACAGGATGTCCTGATGTGCCCTTTGTTCTTTCTTGTGGTCTCATCGGTAGACACTCTAAATTGTGCTATAAGCAATAAAATTTACTTGTATAGATTCTTGATTTGAAAAATTCTTAAGTCTGTTTCTGAAATCTTTTATATTATGCATGGCAATGATAATGTAAAAGTGGAAACTAACAGCAATGATAATCCCAAATTACGAATTTAAGAATTAAATGTATACTTTTATGTAATCATTTTTTCTATGACCCAGTGCCACTACAGGTGGTATTTTGGACCGAGCAATTGAAGCAGAGGATAAGAAGCATGGAGACTTCTTGAGGCTGGTAGGCTGTTTTAGCCACTGTTAATCTTTTTTATATAGGCTGTTCTGCTATAAATATGCTTGCTTCTTTAAGAAAATTCCATTACTATTTACTCTGACAAAAGAATGAACAAGCGAACTCAGTAATATGGTGTTTAACATGTGAGCAGGACCACGTTGAAGGGTACCTTGAATTGTCTGCAAAAACTAAGATATATTTTGCTACTGCTGTAGCTTTATGGGATGCAGATTTTTATGTCAAAGTTGATGATGATGTCCATGTAAATATAGGTAAGTTTTGTTTATATGTTTCCTACTTTCCTGTGAGAATTAAGACACTCCCTGCAGCTAACAGTAATTAAGTTTTTTTTTTTATTTAATTCTTTGCCATTTTAAATCCTGATCTCCTGTAAAATTGCTGCAGCAACACTCGGAGAAACTCTAGTTAGACACCGAAAGAAACGACGTGTGTATATCGGGTGCATGAAATCTGGTCCCGTCCTCTCTCAAAAGTGAGCCAATTATCTGCATATTTATTTTTTCTACTGCAAAAGATTTTTGAGAAAGAATTCCGGTTTTCTTAATTATTATGTTATGGAATAGGGGAGTTAGATACCATGAACCTGAGCACTGGAAATTTGGCGAGGCAGGAAACAAATATTTTCGGCATGCTACTGGACAGTTGTATGCCATTTCAAAAGATTTGGCCACATATATATCAATAAATCAGTAAGATCTAAGAGCCATGTTTGTTTGAAATTTAAAATGAAGCTTATGTGTGTCATTTTTGTAGTAATGATAATTGTATACTTGCATGATTATGCCAGGCATGTTCTGCACAAGTATGCTAATGAGGATGTTTCACTGGGATCTTGGTTTATTGGACTTGATGTAGATCATATCGATGATCGGAGACTATGTTGTGGCACGCCACCTGGTAAAGTCTTTATTAGTTGAATGATTCACTGTATGATACACTGAAATCCATTAGTTCTTTCTGAGAGGTGGCACATTTCTAGTGACAGCATTCATTTTTAGTTGAAGTAAACATTCATTCTCTCAAATCTCGTGTTAGCTAAAAGCAAGGAAAGCTTATTGCATTTCCCATTTTTGCCTGATACAAACTATGGAATCAGTTTGGTCTAACAAACGTATTCTAAATGCAGATTGTGAGTGGAAGGCCCAAGCTGGGAACATCTGTGTTGCTTCCTTTGACTGGAGCTGCAGTGGAATTTGCAGGTCTGCAGATAGGATTAAAGAGGTTCATCGGCGGTGTGGGGAAGGTGAGAATGCTTTGTGGAGTGCTACTTTCTAATAGGCAGCTTCATGTTCTTCCTAACTCAGGAGGATGTTAAGCTAGGGTGACCCCAGCAGCAGGCATGCAAATCTTCTTCTGTGGTTTAATGAGTATAGAAAATGTTACATCACAGGAGAGAGAGAGAGAGAGAGAGAGAGTGAGAGCTTTGTAATGGTGGCGTTATGATTTTTGTAGAAGGGAAGTGTAAGAATAGCAGCCCAAAAAGGAAGCGGCTGTCACCAACCTCCCATTCTTTCAGGCTTGAGGGCCAATTTGTAAGTTATAGTTCTATAAACCTCGTAATAAATAGAAAATATTTTTGGTCCCATTTTACGTCCTTAATCATCCATTTATGCAACTATGGGAAACATTCTCTTTTTATTGATCTCCGAATCATATTTCTTGTCCTGCTAATATATCTATAGGTACTCAATGATAGACCTAACAATTCATGTATTTATATTATATAAAATATTGATAATTCGTGTATTTATATCATATTTTACGTAAAAATATATCATAATTTTATAAATACGAAAAACTAAATATTATTTTTGTTTTTATTAAAATTTTAAACCCTATCATTTTCTTTTTGTTTTTAACGATTTGATTAACTTAAAAGGCTTTAACAAAAAGCTTGGGAATGAAACAAGATTTACGAGAGAATTATGGTTCTTGTACAATTGACGTTGGGAAACAATCATGTAGCCTTGTCTTGCAAAAGGTGAGACTTCAGAGGAATTAAGCAAAATGATATCAGAAAGCCGATGCTCCTTTGAACCTTCAACACTCTTCTCCATCGTTCAAGCAGATTCCATCATATTGAATCTGGCTTAAAAGGTGATGTTGACTTCATGTTTGGTTCTCCAAAGTATAACTGAGTTCAATTCATGAACTTGGTGGCAATGGTTATATGCGGCTTGTTTGATAGTGATTCCTCGTATGATTACTCAGAAGAGAACTCAGGTGAAGACATGCATGATTACATGGCAATCCAAGACTCCATACAATTCAACATGCAAAAACCTCTCTTGCTCTTGTTCAGATTTTTTTTTTATGATCACTCATCTTCCGTCCATGTCATAACCCTTATATATATATATATATGTGCAGCTCAAACAATTGCAAACTCGTTTGTTTTATGTAGTTCATTTTGTGAAAATTTACTTCAAAACCACTAATGAAAATGTGAATTTTACAAAATTTTTCAACAAATCCATTACCATTCCTTTTTCTTTTTGAGGATATACATAATGGTAGAAGTGTTTATATTTTAGTTTTAATTGAATTAATTGATTGAATCGATTTAATTCAGTTAATCGATTGATTATTAAATTACTTTCGATCGGTTAACGAAAATAATTTTTTTAAAAATTCAACTTTCGATTAATTCGGTTCGAAAATTGAATTAATTAAAATTTTAATCGAAATATAACATAATCCAAATATAAAATGAAAAATATATGAAATTGATTATTTAATTTAATAAGTTATAAGAGTTTTTAACATAATACTTAGTATTTAAATATTTTATTGAATAATTTTATTTAATTTATTTAAAATATAAAAAATTAAAAATTTAAAATATAATTTAATTTAAATATATTTATTATTTAATTAATTAAAAAAATTAACTGAACCAACTGAACACTCTTACTAACGGCAATATTGTGTTTTGTAGAGAGTTTATATATAAAACAGAACAAGATTGCAAAATTCAAAGAAGGGTACAATTCATGAATCTATCTAGCTGGGAAAGGCCTAATGTCCCTGAGGAAATCGGGCACTTATGAACCAAAACCATAAGAACAACCCCTTTGGTGGTCTTTCAGTATCCTTCAGCATCACATTCCCGTAAGGGCACTTCGTAGGTTCTATTTGGTATAATCAATTTTCGAACGATGTAGCTTTTTAATTTTTTTTTTTTGGTAGTAATTGTCAGATATTTTAAATTTATCTTTACTCATGAAATCTAAAATTCATTGACATAAGTCTAAATACAACATCAAATAGTCCTACGTACATTAAAGTAATGCTAACCAAATGGTTCTTAAAGTTTAGATTCATACTTTGATATAAGTTACATTTGACAATTTTAAATACAATATAATGATATATTATATTGATACGATACAAAAATAAAATAAAAAAATTATAATTTAAAATTTTAACAAAAAAAATATTTATAATATAATAATTTTTATATTTTATATATATTTGACATGAAACAAAAACTATACATGTATACCAATTATCAAATGTTCCAACATGCAAAGGACATTAATCTAAGCATTATTTATCAGGAAAACTAGGAAAAAAGAACAAAAAAAAAGAACTAATAAACCCCATAGTTACGCCAGCGTAGCAACATAATGACACATCTCCACATTATGTAAAACCTTGTCTTCTGCTCCTTTGCCATACTGCCATAGCTAGACACCTCTTTTTGCAGCTAGAAAGCTCCTTCAAGCCCCGAGTCATGGTGGCCATTTTCGCCGCTTGCATGTCTGTCTTAGGATCTCAGCTCCAAAGGTTCAGGCCTCTATTAATGGAAAACAATGGTCCAAGATACATTCCAACACATTTGATCTTACAGGAATGAGTTGGGTCCAAAACTTGGGCCAAAAATGTCGATGGGTCGCATTTGGAGAAGTGACTAAACCTTGGCGAACGCACCACTTGGGAGTTGGGCCGGGGCTCATGACCAGTAGAGGTTTCTAAAATCTAAGGACTTGCTCCTTCAATTCTCACCGTCCGTCAGGCTATTTTGAGCCTGGACCCCTGCACTGTATTTTTATTGGTCTTTCACTTGCGTCGTGAGAATGAGTGGCAAGAGTGGGTCACCTTTCTTATTTTCTTTTATTTAACTTATTATCTCTACGAAATGTAAAATATTAAGAATGATAACGATTTAAATAATATCATATTTGATTTTTTTAATAATATATAAAATTATAATTTTTTTAAAATTTATAAAGTTTAAATCAAATATGTCTATTAATTTTTAAATTTTTTATATATTATTTTAATATAATTTTTAATATTTAAAAATAAATTCAAATATAAAATAATTATTGTTATTTTATAAAGATTTAAAGAATATATAAATTAATATAAATATATAATATGATTTTATTTATTTATTTTTATTTATTATTTTTTAATCTAAAATTCGTTCCAAATCCAATTTAATCTAAATTAAATTTAAAACAAACTTATTCAATCCAAACTAAATATTATAATTTTAAATGGAATTTCAATTTTTTCAAAATTTTTCTTACCCTTAATAAAAGTTATCAATGCTTTCAATTTAAAACCAGCTCAATTTTAGTATTAAATATGATTTGAGAATTGATTCAAAATGATAATATGTAAGGATAAATATATTTTTATAGTGGTTAACTGATATTTTCATTTATTATCTTAAATTACATAATAAAAAAAAAAAAACTTTCTTATTAATTGAAAGTCCAACTTTGTTAGTAATTAAAAAAAATTAATTTTACATTTCTTCGTTCCATTTGAACGATTTTTTACTCAGATCATAGCTTTGAAATGTTATAATAATTTTTTTTATCATTTAATCGTTAATGTGACGCCATCACGCATTTGTCAAATGTTTCGCGACTTTTAAGAATTTCATAATTTAATGACGACTGAGTTTGACGCAAATACACTGTTTCTCTGTCCCTCCTTCAGTGTGCAACATTGTCTTCTTCTTTCTTGATTTTTTTTATATAAATATTAATTGATTAATTTATTCCATGTTTGATTGATTGAAATCTTTCCCTTTCTTTTTGGTTGCAGGATTTGTCGCTATGGCAAAGAGTTCCTTTAAGTTGGAACACCCCCTTGGTTCGTCTTTATATGCAATTTCTGTTGATCTTGTGCAACCCTAATTTCAATATTTTTCATAATTAGTCAACTCCAACCCTTGAAATCTTCTTTCTTTTATCTGGTTTTTTTTTTTTTTGTTGCAATTCTTTATTTTTATATTGCTGTTGCTTTTCCTGGAATAGAAACAATTTTGAACACCCAATTTAGAGAAAAGAACAATTAATTATTAGGGTTTAGAAAAGGGGCTAATTATCATGTTATATTTGTGATATTGAAGTGTTTTTTTTTTTTTTTTTTTACCAGAAAGGAGGTAGGCTGAAGCTGCTTGCATTAGGGAAAGTTATCCGGACAGAATCCCGGTATGTAATCTTTGGTTGCTTTGTCTTTTAATGCAACTTATATTTGTGTTTTTTCCTATGATTGAAATGTTACATTGGGGTTTGATTGTTTGGTGTAGGTGATTGTTGAAAGGGAGGAGAAGAGTGATGTGCCTGATATTGATAAGAAAAAGTCAGTTATTGTTACTCTACTTGTTTTTTTTTTTTCTGTAAGAATTTTATGTTTTGTTGGTTTTAATTTGCTTATATGTATTATGTTTTCCGGTTTTGTTGATATTTACATTTCAAGCTGTTCGAAATATCTAAAGTAATGGTGCTATTGAATATATGTTAATTTATGCTTTGAAATGTAAGTGATCTCTTCTAGTAGTTATTGTTGCTGACTGTCCAAAATTTTCTTCTTTTTGGTGTATTATGGTTGTGATTTTGGTTACTGAATCCTCTAAACTTTTTAGTAGTTGATTCCTGTGGATTGTAACTAATTTGGATAAGGATTTCCTAGCTGAAGAAAGAGTTGTCAACCATTTCTTGATGGGGTTTTGAGGAAGGAAAGATATCATTGAAACAATCTCTTTAGGTGCATGAACTTATATGCTTTCAATTTGATTTAATGAATCTTTTTTTGTATTAGTTTTTAAGTTCGCCTAGTCTAATGTACCTGCATGTTTGATATTGCCCTGGCAAGAGGAGGAAATCTTAAAGTATGCTGTTAGTTATGGCAGCTAGATAAAATGAATATGTTAATGATGTTGGTTAGGTAATTTTTAATGATCATATCTATTTTCTGTTATCATCTTAGTTGACATATTCTGTTCGATATGATGTGACTGTTTCATGTTTTGCAGAATAAAGCATATTCTAGTATAAGATGGTGTCTTTAATATGATCATTGATTCGATATTTTCCTGTTGGAACGTGATTCTCCATTCCTTCCCTGTATTTCACATTTTCTTCAGTCGAAACTGAAGGTTCTCCTTTGGGATTAATGCAGATATCTGGTTCCAGCTGATCTAAATGTTGGCCAATTTGTCTATGTTGTCCAGAAAGCTCAGTCCTGAGAAGGCTATATTCATTTTTGTGAAGAACATTCTACCACCGACTGGTGAGATGAACCCTTTTAGATCTCTCAGTCCTCTTCTTGTATTTCTCCTGTTACCAGTTTTGTTAAATGGTTTACTGTCATTGTTGGTTCAGCTGCTGTGATGTCTGCCATATACGAGGAAAACAAGGATGAAGATGGTTTCCTTTACATGACTTACAGCGGGGAGAACACATTTGGGATCATCGAGGTATATCATATATGACCAAGGGATATCCATGTGAATATGACTTCCAAAAAATAAAATTAGTTTAAGATGTAAATCCTCTGTTCCTCTCTGCTAGGTCTAGGTGGATGTTGCTTTGCTTTTTATTACTTATTAGTTCAATATTCCCTCGCAAATGGCCTCCTCTGACGATTTCTTTTAAAGTTGTTAAATAATTTATATGAACTAAACAAGGTTTGCCTCCATATGGATGTGTGCCATGTTGGTCTGATACATACATCTTTCCAAAATTTTCAAAATTTTCTGTTTTTGCTATACTGATTTAAACTTTTCTACTATGCAGACTCTTTTATGGAATCTGAGTTTATGATCTCATTCTTCACAACAATAGTGACGGAAATTATTTACCATAACGGTAAGTTTGAATTGTTGGTTTTTCTATTTGTATTTTTCTTTTTCTTTTTTTTTTTTGTTTCTTCAAAATTTTATAATATATAGGTAGAATTAAAGAATATATAAATCTAAAATAATAATAAATACCAGCTTGAAATAACTACACTCATCTTGATGATGAATGCCCGTATCTATTATCTGATAAACAATTTTTGCATTTTCGTATTTTCCTTTTTACAAACACAGGAGACAATACTATTTTTACATTTGTATCCAAAAAATAAACTTTTTAATTGTTTTATTTATATGAGAATCCAAAAGCAATAAAGTAAATAACAAAGAAAAAAAAAAAAAAAAACCAAATAAGCCTAAGATTTAGCATCTATATAAATGGAATAATTGGACTAGCCTTTGAAGTCAACATGAATGGTGAATCATGAAAGATCTTTAGCCTTCCAATACCCACTGCTCTCAAGAGAATAAGAAGTAATGAGAGGAATGTGGCGAACAAGTTGACGGAACTCACCACTATTCTTTTGCAGCCCATTTACCAGTTTCTCGGGCATATCATACAGGTGGAACTCTCGTAGTTGTAACAGCTTATCAATCCCTCTTGGAATCATTTTCAGCTTTTGGCACCGTCTTGTGATCAACTTTTCAAGGGAAGGCAGAGCACCTTGTTCCATTATCACGAATTCCAGGGCGATCAAACTCTCCAGCTCCAAAATCTTCAGATTTTGAAACTTTCCTGGTCGAAAAACTAACTGATTCCCAGCATACGCATCAAGAAGTTGGAGCTCCATTAGATTAGGAAGATCTTCAAGGGCATCGATTGGGTTGCTTTCTAACTTGGACCCCTTTAAGCGAATCCTGATCAAGTCATGTAAGGAGGGTACCCAGTCAGGTAACTTTTTCAAGCGCCCCTTCAAACTCAGACGTTGAAGAAGCTTTGGAAGAGTAGCAGGCATTGCATTTAGGTCTAGAAATTCGTCTTGCGTAATTGAGGCTACATGCAAAGATTGAAGATTGTTCATATTGGCAATGGAGAGGCACAAATGTTTCCCATCCCCATCTTTCAGGTCAATAATCCCCAACTTCCGCAGCTGTGTCAGGTTTCCCAGTGCCTTTATCATTCCATCATCTCCGTTGGCCTTTATCACTGACAGTTTCTGCAGGGAAAGTAGCCCCCCAATTCTTCTGCAGGCCTTGCAACCTTGTAATAAGATGCTTACTTGGTTCTTTGCGTCGTAACGGTAGACGAGCAGATGGCGTAGTTTCTCAAGTTTGATGATCGTTTTTGGTAGCTCCATGACAAAAGTTTGCTTGAGATCTAACGTCTCTAGGTTTTGAAGCTTTTTGATGGACTTTGGAAGCTTTCTAATGTTTGTGTTTTTCAAGGACAAGTACTTTAAAAGGATAAGACGGGTAATTGCATTGGGAAATTTGTCCAAAGGTGCTCCTTCAAGATCCAAAACCTTCAATATGCTAAAACCTGACAAAATGGTTTGGCTGATGGAGTGGGTCAACATTTCCATTCCAAACAAGAACAAGGAACGACCACGAGAAAATTTCTTTCCCAACATATTACTGCATGTCTTGTGAACGGATAGGCGACGAACTTTCTCGTTGAAGCTCATCTCTGGTCCAGTAGAAACTCGACAAAAGTTTTCCTCATGCGACTTTGATAGTATGATTTTATGCAGAAGATGATGAACCCGGCAGTTTCTCGCACGCCCATCAAAGTCAATTTCATTCACCAGAACCAGCTTCCTCTGGATAAGCTCTTTAAGGTAGTCCTCCGCGACTTCTTCAAGTGATTTTCCTACCACTTCTTTTATGAGTCCCTCTGATATCCATAATCGAATCAGTTTTCTACGGTTAACTGTGTAGCCTTCAGGAAAGATGCTAAAGTAAAGCAAGCAATATTTTAGATAGTAAGGAAGATCATTATAACTAACAGACAGTACATTCGATGTGATTGAAAGACGACCTTCACTTTCCAGTTCTGATCCAAGGCTGTCATGTAATTTCCTCCATTCATCTGCTGTTTTATCAGTATTTGATAAAAGGTTGCCTATTGAAACAATTCCGAGGGGCAATCCCTCACATTGATGCAAGAGTTTTCTCGACCATTCGACCAAACCCTTGGGGCATTCATTGGTTAATGGGAAAACCTTCTTATAGAACAGCTGTTGAGCATTGTCTGAAGACAGAGGTTGTAGGTTGTAAACACTGACAGAAGAGTTATGACTACACAAACGAGCTATGTCTCCTCTTCGTGTGGCGATAATAATTCTACCACGGTTTTGATTTGGCAATGCATATTGGATGGATTCCCACACATCTTTGCTCCATAAGTCATCAAAGACTATAAGGTACCGTTTGTTTTGAAGATATCCCCTCAGTTTATCCATCAGCTGGATCAGACTGGTGGTGAAAAATTCTGGTGGAAGTCGTCCATGTGTAGAATCAAAAAACCGCTTCATCATCGTCAACAAGAGCTCCTCTTTCTTATTGGACTTTGACAGAGGAATCCAAGCAGAACAATCAAAGCTAGATTTAAGTTCCTCGAACACTTTTTTGACGAGAAGTGTCTTTCCAGATCCACCCATGCCGACCACAAACATGACTTTTAGTTTTGGTTCTTTGTCAACCGCCCATGCCATCAACCTATTTCTAGGTTCTTCAATCCCCACAATATCAGTTTCATCCATGTACAAAGAGGCAAGTCTAGGATGAAGGTAGGTGTTATTTTCAGGATCGAAGCCTGAGATTGAGATTTGATCAGACGAACTGATGGCACGGTATCTTTCCCTTGTTTCTTTGGTGCCATGGAGCTTTGTATTGATGTCTTGGATAAGAATGGCAATTGAGCGACGCTTTATGAATTGAAGGAATTTAGGAAAAGCCCTGGATGCCTTAGCTGTGCGGAAGGCAAACATGTCAAGAACATCCTCGATGTCATAAGCCAGGTCGCGAACTTGTTTTATCCACACCCTCAATTGCCCATTGTTTCCTCCTTTTGTATCAGCCTCCCGAAGCAGCGCACCAATTGTCTCAAATTCGTGTTTCAAGCCATCAACTTCGTTATCTATCCCACTCAAAAGACTCCATTCTCGACTGAGTAAATAATCAATTTTTTGGAGTAAGAAGCTCACAGCGCCATCTGCCGCCATGAATATGATCACTGTGATCTTTCTGAAGGGATTGATGAATATGCAACTCCCTTTTATCCTTCAACTCACGTCTTATTGCTACCAATGGTCTTCATATATGTTTTTTTCCTTGAAGTTGTGAGCATTGACTGATTGACTTTAACCAAATTTATTATCATTTTGAGCAATGCAAGTTGCATCGGCGAATCTTCCTTTTCCACTAACTTATTTCCTCCCTATTTCAGAGACGACCATTCCACATCTCCCATTGGAAGGATAGGGCAGGCACGTTCTAGAGTTATTGGAGCCTTCTAAGTTAAGATATGATAATTTAAAATACGCGAGTATGATATAAAAAATATAAAAATAATATAATTTAAAATTTTAATAATTATTATATATAAATTTAACAAAGTTAAGAAAATATTTTTGATGTTTTTGTATCAATATATATTATGATATATAATTTTTGTATAAAATATAATTATAAATATATAAATTTATTATTTTATATAACATAAATACATAAATTATTAAATTTATTTCAAGTTATTATATTATTATAGCATTAATTTCATAAACTAATTATAATTATAATTTTTTATACTCGCAGTTTCATTAAAAAAATTACAATTTGGAAGTTTGAATCGTATTATTTGAATATGTACTCAAACATCAAATTTTTAAAAATAGAAATAGAAATAGTACAAGTCATTGCTTTGAGTTTTTTTTTTTTAGTTTCTAGAATTAAACTTGGAAAGTTATTGGAAAGTATTCAACCTCAAATTATTCTAGTTATTTTATAAAAAAAAAATATTTTATGGTAGTTATGTGTTATGGGTTATGCGTCTTTGGCTACCTACCTCATTATTTGTAATTTCTTTTCTTCCCGTTTATTGGTCAAGGAATTTAGTCTTTCTCGAAGGCAATTTTTTTTACAATCAAATGTGTAAATCCATTCAATTTCCTTTCACCATATTTATTAAATTGCAAGTTAATTATATATAAAAATAACTATTTGATAAATTATTAGTAAAATATTTTAATTTCGCAAATAAAATTAAGAAATTAACAGATATCGGATTTTTCAATTAACTTTTAATTTTTTTTTAATATATTTGTTTGTGCTGAGCTTTGATTTCAAGATTAGATCCTGAAAAGACAAAAAAAAAGGATAGTTAAAAGTAAAAACAGAGAGTATTTCTTATGTTTGTATTTTGATGCGTATGTCAAAACAAATAAAATCGAAAAGAGAGTAATCAAAAGAAATAGGAATAGTTGAAACTTATCTTAATGGTGTTTAGACTTTTATATTTATAAGTAAGTAATGGCATACCATTAGGAGACAATAAGGATAGTGTCAAGCTGATGTGGCACTGAACGTATCAAATCAATTTGATATGATATGTCAAGTTGACATAAATGATAGAATTATTTTTAATTGTCTGCTTAAGATTTTTAACATGAACAAAAAGATTATTATATCCTTTTGATCACCAAATCACTCTAACAATATTTTAAGAGATATGTATTATATAATTTTATTAATTTCGTTTGTGAAATTTAAAAATTTTATTATTAATATATTTAAAAATTTCTCTTATATATAAATATGATATATATCATATATATATAAAAGTATGAATTCTAAAACTATTAAAAGTGAACGACATAAATTCTTTTATAAATTTTAAGAAATAATAAATTTACCTTTAAATTTTTAGTATTTTTTTATTTATGTATCAAAGATCATTTTTCATTAAATATATAGCATTTATTAATTAATTACTTAAATTAATCCAAAAGTGTTAAAAGTTAATAGCATAAATACCCTTATGAATTTTAAAAAATAACAAATTTACCTTTGAATTTTTAGCATTTATTTATTTATTTAATAAAGATTATTTACCATTAAATATATGGCTTTTTATTCGTTAGTTATTTAAATTTAAATCAATTAAAAATTTATAAATAGAATTTATATAAAATTAAACTACATTAAAAATTTATTTTTGGGATATGGTGGGTGTGTTGTTGAAAATTAACCCAAATTTATTCTTATCTTTTTTTTTTTGCAGAATTCTTTTTTGTTCAATTTTATAAGTAATAATTCAATTAAATTTATATAAAACACATTTCTCAGCCTATGGGCTATAACATACTATGAGTCTATGATATTGAACAACGTATAGAAAAAATCTTTCCTTTGTTGCTCAATTAGTCATTATTTTAGCGTAAATTATTATATAATAATGTTTATGTGCCAAAAATATTTAATTTTATCTTAAGTAAAACATATAATTTTTCTTTTTCAAGATACAACTTAATCTGCTCTTTATCTTCTTTAATAGTACATATCATGAGTCCTTAAGTTTATTTATATTTTTTATTTATTTAATTTAGATCAATTAAAATTAAAGTCCATGCAAAATTATTAATTAAATTATAAAAATATTATTGAGAAAGAGTAATACAAGTATTGTGGTAAGTTTGTATGTTTGATTTTTTTAATGATAAATATACATTTAAATGTTTAATGATTGCAATGGTTGATTTATTTTACTATAAAATTTTTAATCACTCTATGTAATCATGTCTTAACGTTACAATGCTTAAATGAATATTTGTTTTATGAACATAATCTCCTATATATGCGAATTGTTACTAAACTTAGATTTTATTTTATCTTCTATAGATTGATTCTATATTACATCTAAGTTAATTTTAGTCAAACCTTATTTTTTATTTTTAATTTAAAATATTTTGTACTTAAGATATTTTTATGAAACCGCAGTCAATATTGTTAAGAAACATTAATCTTGAAGAAGATAAATTATTCGATATAATATTAATTGAGTTTTTTTTTTTTATTTCATAAGTGGGTTAAAAAATTAACACATCACTTACTTATTTTTTCAATTAGGTTTTTTTTTTTTTAATATCACTCACTTATTTTTCAATTAACCTTTTTAATATACTTTGAAGCTTAAAGGGTATGTGTGTTACGCTATTAATTTCAATTGTGAAATTTAAAAACTCTACTATAAATATATTTTATAATTTTTCCTTGAATAATATAAATTTAGTTTTTTCAATTAAGAATACTATATAGTATTTTTGTATTTTGATAGTGAAAAATATTTTAATCACATGATTAATTATGCACGTTTTGTTGAATGATCAAAGCTTTGTTAGTTTTGTAACCAATTATTATATTCTTGAAATCAATAATGTTATAGTTTATTTTCTGTTATTTGTTTATATTCTTTAAGTATATGATTATTAATTTGTACTCTTATCATGAAAGCATTTATTTAATAATTATTTGTATTTTATGAGTGTGTTTTATTATAGATAAATACATGTATCATCTATGATATATATGTATAAAAGTGTGAACTCTAAGTAATATTAAAAGTAATTTTTTTATTTGGTACACTCCTATTAATAATACACTACATGCTAATCATGCATGTCCAACCAATTATTCAATTCATAAAGAAAGGAAGACTTACAATTAAACTCATCAGTTGCATAATATAAATTTGAAGTATGAGGATGTGAAATGAAATATGTTTATTTATATAATCTTACAATTAAGGTAAAAAATTAATTCAATTAATAATGTTAAATTATATATATACAAAATAAAACAAATGAATCAATTAATATTTCATATAGATCATAAAATTATTAAATTAATTTTTTTATTACTTAATGGGTCAATGTATCATTATATATATATATATATATATAAATGATTTAAAAAAAAGGTGTTGGATGACAAATGATAACGTGACCTTTAATTTTTTTTCTTTTAATGTGTAAAAAGTGCTCAACTTGGAATTTAGTCTACTTTACTATAAAAAAATTTTTATTTAAATTTTAGCTAAATATTTAGAATACTCACAAACATATACATACTTTAGATTTTATAGCCTACCTTGAATAAAACATTCTATAATTAAAAAAATGTTTAATATATATCTATATTATATATAAAATGTGATAATTTATTAAATTCTCTCTATTTATTTTTATTTAATATTTTTTAGTAAATTAAAATATTATTTACTATTTATTTATTTTCTTATTAAAATAGTTTTTCTTTGATTAAGTCATTCATGCCCCAATTAACGCAAGCAATATGGCTAGAAGGCTTAAAATAGTTTTTCTGCAAATGAATAATTTAGTGTTTATAATATATTACACATATTAATATGATTTACACAATTAAATTAATTATAGAAGATTTAATGGTAAATCAATTATAACTTGTAGTAAATATATAATAATAGAGTAGCAAATTATTGATAAATTTGTTATAAAATAGTGATAATTTAGACAAAATCAATAATAACTTTATACTAAATTAATGATAAATGTATAGTAAATTATAGATAACTTAATAGTAAAATATAATAACTTAATAGTAAATAAATAATAATTTAAGAACAAATAATTGATAAAATAGTGTATGATAACATAATAATAAATACATAATAACATAATAGGAAATAACAAATAACTTAACAGTAAATCATTTATACATAATAGTAAATGTATAACACATATTAGTAAATTAAGGATAACTTAATAAAAATAAGTGATAACTTAGCAGTTAATTATTGATAACTTGCTAATAAATAAATGATAACTTAATAGTAAATTAATGATAACTTAATAATAAATAAGATTTAGTTTAATACTCCTTCCATCCTAATAAAATTGTCACATTTTGATTTTTGTTGGTCAGTTTTTTTTCAATTTTAATCACCTATTATTTTTTATTTACTATTGATACAGATATGAAAAAAATATTTTAAAAACTTTAAATGAAGTGGTTTCTAAATAAATGTTTTGTAAAATTTAATTTTTTAAAATATTTAAAATAATAGATGTCAAAGTTAGAAAAATTTAACCCAAAAAAATAAACCATGACAATTTAATTAGGACAAATAAAGGAGTACTAATTAATTGACAAATTTAGTAATAAATCATAAATAGCTTAATAATAAATCAATGATAATTTAATAGTAAATAATTTATAACTAAGTAGTAATTAATAATTAAAAATTAAAAGTAAATCAATATAACTTAATAGTAATCATCAGTAAATTAATAGCTAATCAATAATAATTTAGTATAGTGAATTAGAGATATAACTTAATAGTATATCAATTATAATTTAGTAGTAAATTAGTAATAATATAATAGTCAAAGCATAATAACTTAATAATAAATCAATTATAATATAATTGTAAATGCATAATAACATAGTTGTAAATTAATAGTAACTTCATAAAAAAATGATAGCTCAATAGTTAATTATTG